GTCCCAGTGGGATCAAGTGACATTAACACACCTGCAGTGTCTTCCCTTCCCTGTCTCACGTCCTTACTCCCTCTCCATGCTTCTTGGGATCACCTTCCAAATAAACTACCTGCACCGGAGTCCTTATCTCAGGGTCAACTTTTGAGGGAACCCACAGTAGGCATGGAAAAGTGAGCTGAAATGAAAAGTAAGGTGGCCAAGGGGGAGAGCACCCAGGCAGAGGGAGCCCCTTGGGTAAAACAATGGTGGGCAGGAGGTGGCATGGCATTTGGCACGGTGTAGCACTTGGAGAACACATATTTCTTGGTCCCAGGCCTTTGTTGTGGGATCTTAGCATCTTTGTTGGGGGGGGGTGAGGTGGGGGCAAACACTTCAGTCATCTTTTCCTGATCTCCCAGAGGTGCTGGAGGAGAAGGGGCTGGAGAAGATGTCCGGGGCCTTCCCGCGAGGTGCCCAGGGGCCTGCCCAGGCATCTGCTTCAGTCCTGCGCCCTAAGGAGCCCAAGGACTCAGCTCTGCTTCCTCTAAAAATGAACTGCTCAACTATGAAAGGAAATTCTCCAGCTTTCCTGACTTCCCGCATGATTTGGGTCTATCTAAATATTTGGGAAATGTTCTCTTGTGTTTATAGGGAATACTACAGTGCCAAATGCTGAGGCTTATTGAAGGCAATACAAAAGCAGTGGTTAAGCCAGACAGACTAACTAGCTGTGTGCTCCAGAGCCTGGTCAGCCTCTGTGAGCCTCAGTTTCCTGATCTGTAACATGGGAATAATAGTCAAAACCTGGTGAGGGTTCAATATGATAATGCATATAGCAATACCGTCTGACTGTAATAAGGGCTCCATTTAAAAAGGGGGTAGTGGTGACAAGCAGAGTACACTCACTGGGGCAAAGCCAACATGCCACCTGGGTGAGACTGGTAAGCAAACTCTGCCATGCAGGGTCTGTCACCAGACTCCTCCGCTCAACAGCCCAATTGGGCAGCCCCCAGGGTGTGTTTGATTGATTTGGGTATGACCAGAGCCAGAGCAACAGAGCAGTCCAGAGGGCCAAACTCGGACATCAGGTCAGCCTGTCCAGGCCAGGCCCTTGCCACCACTGGTGAACTAGCCAACAAGCAGCAGGGACAAGAAGTTGGCTCAGAGGGCCTAGGGCTCTGGGCAAGTGCAGGGCGATGACTTCAGGGAGTTCCACAACCAGGGTCTCTCCAGATGCCTTGCTCCACTGGTGTACAGAGGGGCCCCCAACATCACTCCCTGGGGTGCTCTTGTATAGCCCTCCATGAGGGGCCAACTTCCTCCCGTCTCAGGTCTCTGTTCAAACAGGTTAGTTTCAGTGGATCTGGCTCTCTCTCATCGGGGCAGCCCCGCCTGAACTCCCCAAACCTCTGCTGGCCTCAGGTAGTCCATTGCCTCTAAGGTAGAGCCGGTTGTTTTAACTCCGAGAGGAGCTGATGTTTCAATTGACCTGCTGCTGGGTGCTCTTTGTGCCTAGTGAACCAAGCAGAGAGGTAAGCGCCTCACCTGAGGCTGCCCCTTGGCCCACACTCGGGTCCTCTCACCTTCCCACCTTTCCCTTGACTTCTCCCTCCCACGTGGCCTCCTGTGTTGTCCATGGCACAGCGTTTCTACCTCTGGGGCTCCCTGGGTGGTGACTGCACTGTCCCGGAGCTGGCTTCTCCCACCCCCACCTGGGGCCAATGAAGGAATGCTTTTGAGCAGCAAGGCCGTGGCTGGCACTGAGGCTGAAAGGATCTTTTTGAGGCTTTGGGTGAAGAAGGCCTAAAAGGAGATCCCCAAGGATGTGCAATTATCCAATTAACCCAACATGCCAGTGCCGAGGCTGTCCTGGAGTTCCTCAGGGCTGCTAGATAAGGACTGACAGGAGGAAAGATCGTGCATTTCTGGTCTCCGGGTCTGTGTACACAACACTGGCGATGAATAAATCCTGGCCTGGGGTAAGGGAGAGGGTGTAGATCAAAGGTCCTCAGACAAAATGGCTAGTCTTGGAATTCAGTGGAGAAAGGCTGCGTCTGCTCTAAACAAACATGCTCTAAACAAAGCTCATTTAGCATCACCAAGGCTTCAGGGAGATCTGGGGCTCTTGGTAACCAGGATCGATCACCCGAGCCATGAGGCAGAAAGGTTCTTTCTGCATTTCTGCCCTCTTTATTTATTCCCACCACTTATGAGACAAACATGTACACTGTCACTGAACTGGGTCCCAGAGAAACCAAACCAAACCTTCTTGGGGACCCCGGGATCTAGTTTGAGCCTGCCCCTGCTCCCAGACTTCTCTGAAGAACCCCTCTCCGGCCACTTTTTCCTGGAAATCTCACCAGGCCTTCCTGTGGGCTGGGTTACCTTCCTCCTTTGGGGCACAGGGCTTCCTCCTCATTCCAGCTAACCATTCAGCCTCCAACCATCCTAGGAAACGGGAACCACCTGGCAAGAGGATCAGATTCCTGGGAGGTGACACTGCCGCCTCTGTCTCACTGGGCCCCTTCGCCCTCAGCCCTCACCTTGGCCCGGAAGAGCTGACCCTCTCCATTTCTCAGGTCTGAGAAGGTGGAGTGAGGTGGAGACGGGGGAGGGCTGGGAGGAGGGGCCAGGCCTGCACAGGGGCAGGCCCAGGCCCAGAGTGGGAGGAGGAGGCAGGCAGTGAGCGTGTGGGCTCAAGACCACAATGTGAGGGAAGAAGGGCTGCAGAGACTGGGGCATCTCAGGCCCTCTCAGCGGGTGGGGCTGGAGGGCAGGGGCATCTGGGACACAGACCTCCCTCTGGAGTTCAGAGTTGAGCTGCTGTGTAAGTCACTGGCTCCTGAAATCTATAAGACAAGAGTGAAGACTGAAGACTGAAGGAGCATCCGGAGGGGCCATATTCCAAAACGTCAGCTTCCGGTGAGTGTCACTTACTGCTGTACACATGGATTTCTGGCCTCAGCTTCCAGGATCTTTCTCACTGCCTTGGCCCCCAACTAGCAAGAGGGAGGCCTGGGTGATTGCCCAGAGACCTGGTGGCCAGCAGAGATAACCGGGACAGAAACATGCACCTACAGAATTGGGGGACTATCAAGGAGTGACCTCATGGCCTTGGCCTGGTTGGAAGTAGCTTTGCAGCTCCCAAACCAGCCCACAGATGCCTGATCTACGCCTATTTGACCTCTCAGCTGCCCTGTACATCCTGGGTACTCCAGAAACTTCATACCTAGCAGCCCTCAGCCATCCCTCCTGGGCACAGCTGACTGCAGGACCCCTGGCTTTTGTTAGGACCAGAAAATGCTTGACTCCTGGTTCCCAAACCTCACAACTGTCTTGGGGGCTCCTTCCTTCCCTGAAGAAAACCCCAAGTGCCCTCCCAAGAAAGAGACCCTAGAACTTACTTTAAAATGTGACCTGCAAACCAGGACTCCCCTGCAACTGGGCAGTTCTAGTGGGAAAATTGGGGCAACTGAGTTTTCACTGGGATTAACACAATCCTCCTCAAATCCAATCTTTATGTTCCAGCAGCTCTGCTTCCCTAGCTGAAGTCACTCACTGTCTTGCACACCTGCGGAAAGTCTATAGGGATAAAGGGCATGTTCCCTTCCTTCAGGAAGCTCATGGGATGGGGACAGTGAACGGAGGGGGTTCCTGAGATGTTCAGGCCCAGGCAGGACAGGTCAGGGAGGCCTTCCACAAAAGGTCCCCTGTGGATTAACATCCATAATTAGAAGGAATTAGGGGAACAACATCGCTGGGAGAAGGAAAGGCAGGAGGTGCCATGGTGTATGTCGGGGAGGTGATGGGGTAAAGCAGGCAGGGGCAAAGTCACTGCACACCCAGTAACCCTGGGGAGCATCCCCTGCCCCTCAGGGAACACCCAAGGCTTGTCCTCCTCCTCAGAGCTCGGGGGGAGGGGTAGATTTTTCCCTTCGTTAGGTTTCCGCTGGATTTATAGGTCTGCCACATTGTTCTCTCCCCAGCCACGCGCCATGTGGTGGGCTCTGCGGCTGCTGCTGCTGCTGCTGCTGCTGCCGCCTACGGCTGCGCTGAACCCCAGCCTGGCAAGGACTTCCCAGGAGAGAACCCCTCTTTTCCGGCTTATTCAGCAGGGCCCTTGGGGGAGCGGGGCCAACAACGCCACGAGCTCCCCCTGTGAGGGGCTCTTCGCCGCGGGGGCTACGACACTGACCCTGGCGAACCGCAGCCTGGAGCGCCTTCCGGACTGCCTGCCCCGCGCGCTGCGCATCCTGGACTGCAGCTCCAACCTGCTGCGTGCCTTGAGCGCGCCTGAGCTCGGCCACCTGCCTCAGCTGCAGGTGCTGACGCTGCGCCGCAACCGCATCGCCGCACTGCGCTGGGGCCCCGGCGGGCCCGCGGGGCTACATACGCTGGACCTCAGCTACAATCGGCTGACCGCCCTGCCGCTGTGCGCCGAGCCCGCGCTGGGCAGACTCCGCGCGCTGGACCTCGCGGGGAACCCCCTGCAGGCGCTGCCGCCCGGGGCCTTCGCTTGCTTCCCAGGGCTGCGCCTGCTCAACCTTTCCTGCACCGCGCTGGGCCGCGGCGCCCAGGGGGACATCGCTGACGCCACCTTCGCGCCGCTGGACACGCTTGAGGTCCTGGATCTCAGCGGCACGTTCCTCACGCGGGGTGAGTCCCGGGCGTCCCTAGTTTTCGGAGGAGGGCTGGGCATACGCTCCGGGGGTGGGGCTGTGAACTTTCTCGAGGGGTAGCGACCCTAGTGCCAAGCTCACAGTGCCACTCATAAATAACCCCACTTAGATTTCCTAAGCCAAGCCAGCCCTGTCCAAGTGCCACACGGGGGTTAACTCCTTGAGTTCCAAGAGGTGAGAACAGACAGGTGAATGGTCCAAGGTCTCACAGTTTAAGTGGTGCCTCCAAATCCAAACGCAAGCATTCTGGGTCCAGACCCCAAACCTTTAACCACGTGGTTCTACTAGCACAGCCGGTAAATGCTCCTAGAATGAGGAAGGGGATGCACTGTTTTGGAGCTGTGCTGAATGAACTTAGCACCAAACATGCAGTTCACCTGAAGCGATTGCTGTTCTAAAGATGAATTCATTGGCTTTTCTACTTGATTGGCTAAAATTGTGTCTGTAAATGTTAACTCCTTCAAATAAGATACAGGAGGGAGGTGATAATACCGGTTCTCTTGTACTTGGTGTGTTCTGACTCTGGTTCACAAGGTTGGTTCTATTGTTTTTGAAAACAAAACACTTCATGTGTCTATAATCACCCGTTCCATCATAGACCAAGAAAGAAAAGTGACAACTGGAAACAGAGGGGAAGGGACACATTCTCCGTGTATTAGGAGAGTCACAAAATTAGGTTTCTGGGCCTCATATAGTCTTTCATCCTCTCCTCCTTCAAAAATTTTCCCACTCATGGCAGCCATTAGAGTGAAGTTTAGGGTATTTCTGTGTGAAGTTTTGGGTATATCTGTGTGGAGAGGGTGGGCCAGCAGCAGACTTGGAGACAGTGCCCTGGGTTCAAGTCCTGGCTCTGTCCTTTCTCAGCTGTGCGACCTTGGGTCAACCATTCTCCTTTCTGGCCTCAGCTGCCTCGGGCTAAAAGGAAGCACTGGTCATCTCTGAGGGCTCATCTGGCTGAAATGACTCATGCATCTGAGATTCCCAAAGCTGCCAGCTGTGCCCACGCTCTGCAACGACCTTCACAACTCACCTTGTCACTCTTGGTGTTCCCTTAATATTATGCCAGCCTCTTGGGTTTGTGCCTTCCTGGGTAGTGGGCAGTTGTCCTTGTGTGTTTCAGTTCAGTTAGAGTGGATCAGAGACCTGCCGAAGCTCACATCCCTCTATCTGAGGAAGATGCCGAGGCTGAGGAGCCTGGACGGGGACATTTTCAAGATGACTACTGAACTGCAGCATCTGGATTGCCAAGATTCCCCAGCACTTACCTCTGTCCAGACACACATCTTTCAAGATACTCCTCACCTACAGCTCCTTCTGTTCCAGAAGTAAGTGTTTCTGAGTCACATGACCGTATTTTGCACATTACACTATGTTGACTAGGGATAACTATGTTATAGAATACACCAGACCTTCATTTTCCTCCCATGGCTCCTTCAAGCCCTCTCTGGGCTTTTGTTCTTCCTCACCCTTTGGGTGATGTCTTGGGCAGGTCCCAGATAGTCCATCCAGGCTACAAACCAGGCAGCTCAGTCCCCTCCAAAGTCTCATGAATGTAAGGTTTCCTTTAAGTTCAGGATGAGAAACCTGCAGTGGGACGAAGGGATGAGGGCATCAGGCTCTTCACCATTTCTCCATCCACCTGCTTCTCCATGTGGGAAGTCAGCCCCTTCCAGGGTTTGAGCAGGTCTAGGGAAGAAAGGTGAGAGGGTAGGAAGGTCTTGCTTACAGTCAGGATGTAGGGTTGGTGCCCTCTGGCTCAGTGATATTTAAAGTGTCACTGTATCCACCATCCTTCCCTGACCTCTAACAAGAAGGGCAGCATCTTTTTGAAGATGATCCCAAGCTACCTCCTTTCCTGGGGACCCACATCTGGGTCCTGGGAAGCAGGCACCTGTGCTCCACCACTACTCTCAAAGGAGCCACTTCTCTATTTTTTCTGCTGGCTCCAGCCCCAGCCAGAGTTCTTCGCTTCGGGCCTTGTCATGAAGGAAAGGGAGATAGAACATGCAGAGCACTTAGCTCTGTTCCTGGCACATGGTGGGGAAGATGGTGGTTGTGGTGAAGGTGATGGTAATGATGGCAGTGATGGTGGTGGTGGTGATGGTGATGATGTTGGTAACATGATGAATTGGTGATAGTGATGGTGGTGATGATGATGTTGATGAGAGTGATATCATCTCTGGCTTAGACTCCTCTTTTGAGCGTTAGACTGATGCAACATTGTGTGTAAGGCATCAGATGTGGAGCCAAACTGCCTCAGCTCAAATCCTGAGTCCACCACTTAATAGCTGTGTGAGTTGGGACAAGTTATTTAACACCTTTATGACTCGGTTTCCTCTTCTGTGAAATGGAGACAATGACCAAACTCTCCCCACTGAATTGTTGGGAGAGGAAATGTTTTGATGTGTGCCTTCAAAATACCCGGCATAGAACAAGAGGTTCGTATTATTCTTATTACTGGGCATTTGCATTGGATGTCTCATAGGTTTGTCAGTATCTGGCAGGCAGTTAGAGATAGGAGCCTCATGCTTATCACAAGGCCTGAGAATCCTCAGCACACGGATGGCGGAGGAAGCATCAGGTGATCATGCTGATGGTGACAGTGGTGGAGGTATTAGGAACAATGGGGATGTTGATGGTGATGATGGTTTTGGTGATGATGGTGGTGGTGAGATGACAGCATGGCCCCTGCTTCCAGGGGCCTCACAGTTCAGTGTAGGCAGCAGTCATCTGCCACTTGTCATAATACATTGTGATCAGTGACAGAGGCACACACCATGTACTGTGTTATAAGAAAGACTGAAGAAGAACATAATTGATCCATATCTTTAAAGGTGAGTCCACATTCACCAGGTGAATGCCAGAGGAGAAAGGCAACCCAGACCCAACATAAGCAAGCATCCCGGTTCAGAAGTGGTAACCACATCCTCTTCTCCCTGCCTTTCTCAATTCACTGCAATCTGTCTACCCGCCTCAGCTCCATGATGGAATGGAACCAGTGGCATTTCAGCTGCTAAGTCCAGTGGACGCTTCTCTGTCCATTGAGCCTCTTGCTGATTCTTTCCTCCCTATTGACGATCTCCAACTTCTTAGCCTCAGGTCAGTGGCCCATGTGGGGAACGAACTGGCAACCCTGATGTTATGAGCATTGTGCTCTAATCACTGAGCTAACTGGCCACCCCAGTAGCACAGGCCTTTTGATAAGCTCCAGGCTCATGTATCTAACTGGATGCTGAAAGACCTATGAGACATCCAGTGCAAACGCCCAGTAATAAGAATAAGAATAATACGAACCTCTTGTTCTTTGCCAGACATTTTTCTAGGCATATATCAAAGCATTTCCTCTCCCAACAATCCTTTGTGGGAGGATGTGGTCATTATCCCCATTTCACAGATGAGGAAATTGAGCACAGAGGCATTAAATAACCTGCCCCAATTCACACAGCTAGTAAGTGGTGAACTCAGGACTTGAGCCCTGAGGCAATTTGGTGCCACACCTGATAACCTTAAACCTGATTGTAAGAGCTTGATACAACTGGTTTTCTGTGTATTTCAGCTGCAACTTGAGTTCCTTCCCTCCTTGGACCCTGCATTCCTCCCAGGTCCTATCCATCAACCTCTTTGGCAACCCCCTCACTTGCAGCTGTGAGTTGTCCTGGCTCCTCATGGATGCAGAGAAGACTATCCTAAGCAGGTAACACATTTACAAAGCAGGTGACTGAAGCGGGGAGGGTCAGCCCCCTGGAGCTGAAGTTCTTGCGGCTCATGTCTTGCTCAGGCAACCATGCTGGGCAGGTCAGCAGTGCTGGTCACAGTCAAGGACTCAGGTGATGGAGGCTTTGCCTCCCTTCCAGTCAGCCAGAGGGGCTGACAGCATGGAGGAGTAGACATGGGAAGGCCCGGTGGTGATGCTGATCACTACTGGGGTGCTTTTCTCATCTCCCACCCAAGCCTGGATATCAAGCGGGGCTCAGTCTGCCCCCTCTCCCCTTCATGTGAACTCCAAAGGCAAGCAAGCACCCAGGCCCTTTGCAGTGAAGGGTCTCGCTTTGTCTTAATGAAGAGGTTGAGAGTGCAGTCTCTTCGTATCACTTACTACTGTTCATTTTGGCTGCATTACTTAAACCCTCTGGGCCTCTACCTCCTCATCTGTAAAACGGGGATGATCGTGCCTCATAAGGCACGATTACCTCATAAGGTAGTGCAAATTAAATTAGCTGATACCGTAAGGTGCTAACAATAGTCCCTAGCACGTGGCAATCACTCAGAAAATGGTAGCTAGTGTGAGTATTGTGACTAGCACTCGTGGCCAGGAAGCAGACAGGTGAGAACAAAACGGCAGGCTACACTTAGAGAATCTGGACTGCCCTTCATGGTGCTGACCCCGGGTTTAGCCTCTGCCATTTGCTAGCTGTGCTGTCTCGGGCAGTTGGCTCCTCGGTCTGCACTCCTGTTTCCTCTTCTACTCAATGGGAGTGATGACAGGCCCCTCCTCCACTGGTTGCCCTGAAGGTCAGTGAGGTGATGCGTGTCTATAGTGTGTCCCATGTGGTACCTGGCAGATGTGTTGAGAAGCTTTTGGCAGAGGAGTGTCTGCACTGAGGACTCAAAGCTCAACACAGGAGCAACCCAGATGCCAAACACCTTCTAACTGGCTGGCCTCCTCTCTAGGGCGGCAGACACTGTGTGTGCACCAGCTGCAGGACCCCACGGCGCCTTCTCAGCCCCTCTCCGGCTCTCCCAGCTGCCCAGTGTGTGCCATTCGGGCCAAAGCACCACCTTCCTTGATTCCAACTCATCTTCCTCTGTCCGCTCCACCCACGCGCCATCCACACAGGGTTCCTCCACTCCGCGGAGCACAGACCCCTCTACTCAAGCTGTGGGAGCCCAACAGAGTGTCGTCACCAAGGCCCTCTTCCACCCTGTGGGTCCCCCCACGGGAACTGCATCGCCGCACAGCCCTGCCCAGGAGGGAGCCGCTGCCTCCTCTACAGCGGGTTCCAGCAACTCCAGTAATCTGCCCAGAGCTGCAAGCACAGCCGGAACAAAGCCCAGAGAACATGCTGCCAGGCTCGCCCCTGACCCTAATAGCTCAACTGCCTTCACCCCATGGGCCAGCAAACAGCTTGGTCTGTTCCCTGCCTCCCAGAACCTAGTGAGCACTCCCCAGCTCAACTCGAGGACACAGGCCACCCCGCAGGCTCCCCACCCAAGTCCTTCCGAGGATGAAATTCCAATCCTGCTGTTGGACGACTCCAGTGAGGAGGAGGGGGAGAAGGAGGAGGTGGGCGCGCCTCCCCAGGATGGCCCCTGTGATTACCACCCCTGTAAGCACCTCCAGACCCCGTGCGCAGAGCTGCAGAAGCGCTTGCGGTGCCGGTGCCCAGGCCTCAGTAGGGAAGACACCATCCCAGACCCTCCCAAACTGCAGGGGGTGTCTGAGACCACCGACACATCCGCACTTGTCCGCTGGTGCGCCCCCAACTCGGTGGTGCGCAGCTACCAGATCCACTACTCTGCGGAGGGTCAGCCGGGAAACCAGTCGGTTGTGGGGGACATCTATGCCACCGCCCGGCAGCACCCCCTGTATGGGCTCTCGCCAGGCACCACTTACCACGTGTGCGTCCTGGCGGCCAACAGCGCAGGCCTGAGCCAGCCTCGGGCCTCGGGCCTGCGGGGGCCGTGCGCTGTCTTCACCACCAAGCCCAGCTTCGTGCTCATCTTCGCGGGTCTGTGCGCCGCCAGCGGCCTGCTGCTCGTCAGCACCCTGCTGCTGTCTGCGTGTCTCTGCAGGCGGGGCCGGACTCCACGCCCGCAGCGCTACAACACGCACCTGGTGGCCTACAAAAATCCAGCCTTTGACTACCCGCTGAAGCTCCAGACCTTCAACTAGTCCAGCGTCCCCTCCTCCCATGGAACTCGAGCTGAGGAACTAACTGATTGCCTGTGCACAGAAAAGATACAGAGGGCCCAACAACGGCGCATCAGCTCTGACCGTCTGTAATTCCTGGGAAGCCGGCACTCCTCAGCACACAAAGACCTTGCCAAGCTGAGTTTCTCAGTCTAAAGAACTTCCCTTCCTTCTACTTCACTGTGTATTTCCTGAAACGTGGTGGTCCACACCAGACCACTCCCATTGGGACTGGGCATTCTTGTGTGTTGTTTCATTTGGTTTTGTTTTTGTTTTAGCCATCAAGCCCCCTCAGTGTCCAGTAGAATAAAATTGTGTGTGGAAGTAGGAAGAGATAAAACTCCATAATGCTGCCTCATGCTATGTTGGAAGCGACATCTTGAAGTCATTTTAGGGAAGTTCCCTCTTGGTCAAGCTCTGGCAAGGCACGTTATTCAAGGAATCAACTCCAGTGGATTCTTTTTTGTTTTTTTCCTTGTTGTCAGTGGGACGCTGTTTAATCACAGTATAGTCTTTTATTCTTACAAAGGTTATAAAGATGAAGTTTATTAATTCAATCAGATGCCCTTTGAAACTCTTTATCAGGCACATAAGGTTCTTCAGTAGCTGCTCATCCAGGGGATTCATAACCTGAGAACAAAGGGCTGAGGCAGAAGAGCACTGGTTCCGTTTCCCCGAGGACTTCTGGGTTTCTTAGTTGCATTCTAGGATATGGTAAAAAACAAAAAACAAAACAGTGCTTCTAGCTTTAAAGTTAAAACTGCAGTCTTCTGGGAACATTTATGAAATACAGGAAAAGGCTGTTCTTTTAAAAGTCAGTTTTTATTGCATTTCACCTAAGTGGAAGCACAATGAGCTCATTTTTAGGAACTTTTTTTAAGAGAGAAGAAATGAGCAAAAGAGAACCACAAGGCTCTGGCTAGAGGCCAAAACGTTTCTTTGGTCCCGACTGCATTAAATGTCTTTGTGATTTGTATCTGAGTGTGGGATATGCCTTTTTCACTTTTATACAAACTTAGGGGGAAAAGTGATTTTGTAAAATTATAATGGGGGTCATATTTCTAGATTTTCACCAAATGGTCTATTTACTCCTCTGTATTTCCCATCCCTCCTTGCAGAGCCACGTGACTGTGTTGACCAATGAAATTGAAGAATGATGCATGTTATTTCCAGGTTGAAGCAGTACAATTCTCTTTTCCTATCTTGGGGCAACTGAAGAGGCTACATAGTCTAAGAAATGCAGCCACAGGTGATGGCACTTGTCTGTCTGAGCGCTTAAAAAACTATAGGAAGTACAGACCTCCCCTACAATCCTACACAATCACTGCATTAGCACGCAGTGTAAGCAAAAATAACAGGAATTCTGGGAGTTGATTTTTTAGTGCAATTAACAATGCCTATGCTAGTAAATACAATGTCAGAGTTTAAGACAATGCCTTTATGAGGCATGTTGTTTTAAGACTAATATTTTCTTTTATCATGGCACTGCATTATCATTTCTCATTCAGAAAATAGTTCTTCTGTAGAAAGAACATCATTCTGAAGGTAATAATCTGAAACAATAAATCAAGCTCCAAAGAGAATTTTACTGATTTAATGATTTCATTTTAGATAGTGCCTGAGATTTGAATTTTCTACATTCACATTTGTTTCCTATGCTACCATAATAAATAACCATAAACTGGGTGCCTTAAAACAACAGAAATTTATCCTCTTATTGTTCAGGCCAGAAATCCAGGATCAAGTTTATCAGCAAGGTTGGCTCGCCCTGGAGACTCTAAGGGAGAATTGGTCCAGCCCGTTCTCCCAGCTTCTGATGTTCCTTGTCTTCCAGATGTATCACTCTCTTTTATGGTCTCGTGAGATTCTCTATGTCTGTGTCCAAATTTCCCTCTTTTCTATTATTTTCCCCCAGCTTTGAGATGCATGGCGTATAACAGTAAGTATGAAGTACAATGTGATGATTTGATACATGTATATATTGGGAAATGATTACAATAAGATTAGTGAACACATGCATCACTTCAGTTACCTTTATGCGTGTGTGTGATGGGAACTTCTAAGATCTACTCTTAGCAACTTTCAAGTATACAATACAGCATTGTTAACTATAGTCACCGTGCTGTCTTCTGGGGATCATTAGATCCTCAGAACTTACTTATCTTATAAGTGGAAGTTTGTACCCTTTGACCACCTTCACCCATTCCCCTCCAACCCCACGCCTCTAGGAACCACCAACCTACTGTTTCTATAAATTGTTTTTCTTTAATTCCACGTACAAGATCATAGAAAATTTGTCTTATTTTACTTAGCATAATGCCATCAAGTTCCATGTTGTTGGTAAAGGCAAGGTTTCCTCTTTATAGTTGAATAATATTCCACTGTATATACATATACCACATTTTCATTATCCATTCATCCATTGACAGACACTTAGGTTGTTTCCAGGCCTTGCCTATTGTAAATAATGCTGCCAGGATCATTGGGGTACAGATGCCTCGAGATAGTGATTTCATTTCCTTCAGATAAATATCCAGAAGTCAGATTTCCCTTATCAGGGCCCTAGGCATTTGGGTTAAGGGCCACGAAATTCAGCATGATCTCATCTAACCTAACTTAAGTACATCTGCAAAGACCCTACTTCCAAATGAGGTCACATTCACAGGTACCAGGGGTTAGAACTTGAACATATCTTTTTTGGGAGACACAATTAAACCCCTAACAGCATTTATTTCTATCATAATTAAAAAAAAAATCGGGCCGGCCGAGTGGCGCGTTGGTTAAGAGCTCTGGCTTGGGACGCCAGAGAGCCCCGGTTCAGATCCCTCATATGAGGGCCAGTGACACTGCCCTCTACAGCTAAGATGCTGAACAACAGCTCTACCTGGAGCTGGGCTGCCTTGAGTCGCCAGGGACAGCGTAGGCTGCAGCCCCTGCTGCAGTGAGTTGCCATAGGCTACTGTGTGTAGCCAAAAGTCAGCATGAGCAGCCAGCAGCTGCTGGCGACTGATCTGCCTCAACTGGGAAGAGCACAATGATGGTGCCAACTTGGGCCAGTGAAGCGACAACCTCCACAACTAGACTGAAGAACAGAAGGACAGCAACTTTTCTGTTCCCCTTCCCCCAATTCCCCAATAAAAAAAATCTTAAAGAAAAAAGAAAACTTGCACAAAACCCAAAAATGTGATAATTAGCAGTCTTCAGACGTAATTATCCCAATGCCTTTTTAAGCTTACTATCAAGGTTGAGTCTGTTATGTGGAGGCACCAAACTGAATTTCTGCCATGCTTTGAGTCTGTATGCATGAATATGCACTCAAACATGCCTAATACAATTCCAATGTTTTGTAAACTCAAAATTTGTTTTATAACAAGTCAGTGTCCCCCAAAATCTGAGACTTAGACCATTTTTTTAAGGGTTCAGGTGGCCAAAGTATATTAACCAGAGCCAGATTAAGACCTTATTTCTAAAGAGACTGAGTCCAACTTATAAGTCACTCCAAACAGCATCAACACTAAACTATAAATAAGCATAATGAAGCACAAAATCCTAATCTTTCCCGTAACTACTTTATTTCAAGTTGTTTTTTGAACACCATTTTTGTGTGCTCACTTTGCTAGTGCTGAGATGTGCTCAGTGTGCCTCTTGTGTGGTCTAGACTTTTACCTTCAGCCTCACTGCCTCCCAGGTGACTGACTATACAGGTTTCAGAAGGAAAGAACCAGCCACAAGCCACCCTTCTCGTCCCTCTCACCACCCTCCATTTGATTCAGTGGCAGTGTCCCTACCTGCAGTGTGTTCCAAGCCAAGGGAGGCTCAGCAGCTAGTCAGGGAACAAGGAAGCCAGGACCAGCAGGCAACAGAAGTGCACATTGATTGAAAGACACTGCCAAGAGGCAGGATTTTTGCTTATAAGTTCCCACTGTAACACAACAGGTTGTGTTTAGACCTGGGACAATGGGCAGTGATAGGCCTCCCCAGATAAGAGGAGGCAACCAGCACCAGCCCTGTCGTCTTTTTCCTTCTCCCTTCATCTCCCATTCTCCTAAACACGCCAGCGTGCTGAGAACAAGGGCTTTTAAGTCAGATGGTCACAAAACAATTATTTTTACAATGTAAGTACAAGGGATGTATCTGAATCGATTTTATGCATCAGAAAACTTGCAAAAAACAGGAGGACCATATTGTTATACAAACAACCCAAAATGAAGGTATACTTTTTTTCTCCAGTTTTCTTTATTCTTTTAACATTTTAACAAAAGAATATTCCCCAAAGTTTAAAAAACCTTTGAAAAATATACAGTTTCATATTATTTACAATAACATATAAGTACAGGTTCCAATATTATACAAACATTGCTTTGTTAGAAGTAGTGGGAAGCCATGATACAACTCACTGCCTCCTGGATGGTGTAGGCTCAAGGATCTGTTTTCATAGTCCATCTACCTCTGTTACTTATTATCCTGATACATAAACTATTAGGCACCTGAGAGGTTGGAAGACTACTGAATATGAACTTCAATACCTTCTGTTTTGATCTTATTATTTGCAAAACCTAGGGCATTTATCATCGCTTTACAAGTTTACTTCATTCACAACTAAGCTACTTTTACTGTCATTATCCTAAATGATCAAATATTAACCATATGAACTGTTAATATGTACACCGATCAGATTAAACATAAAACTGTAGCCAAGTTGTGTAGGATATATATTTAAAACCAGGAAATTCCCTAGTGCTTTGTGAGCAATCTAAATTCTATTAAACAGAAGTGGCAATTCAGTTTCCATGCTCTAGTTTATTAAAAAAAAAAAAAAAAAAAAGATTAAAAAATGACTGACAATAATTGGAATAATTGGTTCCTTATAAGTTAATTAAGAAACCTAAGATAAAAACAATTTTGTGATAGTTTTATTTGCATTTAAAAATACATTGAAAATTCTGCATATGCTCATGATCAAACTTATTTTCAATGCACATTACCTAAATTTTGATGACATGGTTTGTTCTGACAAGTCCTTTTTCAAGCTGAACACCAATATAGGGGGACTCCTGTAGATTACCACTGGCCCTGATGCCGGGGTTGTATGCTGTTTCCTTGCTAATGATGATGGATGACCTTCATCTGCCTTTTATCACCTGCACAGTTTTCCGACCATAATGATAGTAACTGTACGCTGATGCAGCTGTGGTGAAAGCTGTGAAACACCTTTAAAGGAAGGAAAGAAAATTTAGTTGTCAAGTCTAAAACTCAGTAACTGTAAGAATCATAATGAATACATTTAAAAGAGTTACTTAAAAAGTAAAATAGGCTGTGTTGTGGTGTAAATTTTTTTTTAACTGCAAGAATTTAAATACACTGTGGAATTGTAACAGCTATATACGATGTCAGAGGGACAGTAGACTGGGGGAGGGGTTATCATTTTGTCAGGGGTGTGAATGTCTAGTACATTGTTTTGTACACCTGAAACTAATAAAAAAGAATTTAAATACACTACTTTTAAGACTTCAGTTGAATTAGTAATGTCAAACCATCTAGTTAATGAACCTGAAAAAATAATAATACTAGCAACTGTCATTTTCACCCAGAAATTACTCTCTTATATTCTCATTTCACTTTCACATCTTCTAGAAGAAACGGTGCCCAGAGACTTGCTCAGGGCCACAGAACCATGTGTGAGCCTGGTTTGGCTTCAACTCTAGCACCACGTGCCCTTTCCACTGCTCCATGCTGCTTAGACTCTATTTCCTGAAATTCTGAGTCATTTAAAATAAATTTCAGCTTTATCAATTTTTCCTTACGTGAATTACCAGACTAACCAGATCTGTTTTGAAATGACGTCAGTGATGCTCAGGGCTGGCTGAACGCTTGCAGCTCCCTAGCTCTACTTCAGCGCACGGGCACGTCTGCCTCCACCTGGTGAGGTGGAGGACTGTCAGGGCTCTGCTTTCATTGGATCCTAAGGTGGTTCGTGCCAGTTTAATATTGTAAATTCACACATAAGCTAATGAAACACACAAGTAGGAAAAGTTGCTATCTCTGAGAGCTAGGATGGATACTCTGGAAAAACTTGATAACAAGGCCAGTTGCTAAAAACTACTGTCAACATAAGCAGGCAATATGATTGTTAAAAAAACTGGAGAAAATGGTAAAAAAAAACAAACCCAAAAAACCTAGAAAATGTCTATACACAAGATTGCTTTGTAAATGTCTTAAATTCTTATATCACTTTAAAAGAAGCAGAAAATGAAAATCAAGAGAGGTTGTATTATGGATGTAGTTTATTCAAGAAATAAAAGCATCACTTAATGGACCTACATTCAAAGAAAGGGCCTTGGCCTTATATCAAAAGATATAGATAGGATGAACCAGAATAAATGTACGCTTATGTATATTTTAGGAAATGTTTAGTTTGTATACAGTTTTGAAAGCTTCTTTAGCTTCACAACTGCTTAACCAACCATTTTCTGGCTCAGGCTGCATCAAGCATGAAGGCTTTAAGTACAGAGTTAAAAGTATACTAAAATACAGTGCTTCACTATCAGTGTGACACATTTGGGTTCTGGGAGTTTGAATGTGACACATTTTCAAGGCTATAAAAAAGCACAATAAAATAACATTCTAATTCCTTTCTCCGAGTTTCCCTCCCACTGTGCGCCTTTCACTAGCCGGATGCCCACCTCCCACACCCCTGCCTTTGCTCAGGGTCTGTCCTTCAACTGCATGGTCTCTCCTCAGTCTCTCCCTGTATGAAATTCACCTGGACCTCAAGGCTCAAGTGCTACTTCCTCCCTGCAGCTTTCCCCCTTCTTGCTAAATAGAGCTCTTTCCTTCCTCCGAAACCCCAACACACTGTCTGTACTTCTCATGCCTTTTAACTTGCTTGAAAGCTCCTATAACTTCTACATCCCATATTTGATAGTAAGCTTCTTAAGAATGCTATCAAACATAAAATATACTCCACAGCTTTACCCAGTTGGTGCTCAATAAACACTATAAGAACAAAATAATGCTAGGGCTGCCACAGTAAAACATTTTGTTGACATGCTCACAGAGTAATTCTAAATTTAGCTTACCACAGTATTTGAAGATAAATGCTGTCAGCATAATTGAAAACCGGAGCTGCCAAAGAAGCTGCCACCAAGATTAACTGGACTGCTGTGTTTACCTAAAGAAAAGGAGTCATAAATGAACAGTGCCAACCAGATCCTGTTTCCAGCTCACGAGACTAAGGCCGAGTCCCCCACAGTGTAACACCATGGACCCTAAGCATGCCTGATGTGCTAATATCCCCGCCAAAGGAGCTGGCATTCACACCACGGGTGACCTTCATAAGGAGCCCACCTGTCCACACAGTTGCTCTTTGCAATGAGAAGGGCAACTGTCAGAAAATACCACTACTTTGTATTTCCATAGCAATCCAATAATGGTGCATCGTTCTTTGCGCATTTTTTTAGTTATCCATTAAAACTGTCCTGTGAATATGCAGATAACTAAGGTGAAAAGGTGAGGAGTTAAGTGACTTGCCTGCAGTCATGCCAGGTTACAGAGCCAAATCTAGAACCCAGGTTTCCCAGCACTTCATTCAATGCTTTCACTTGCCTACCTGTCAAACCTCTGAGGTTAGAAAACTGAAATATATTCATCTCCATGAGAGAGGCCCTCTGAAAGAAAGAGTAGGTTTCCTGACTCTAAAAGACAGCATGGAGGACAAAAGGAAGAAGACAGAACCAGAAAGACACTGGAGACCCCCTCTACGCATCAGAAGCGTTGGGGGGAAGTGTGTGAAGTATGAATCAGTGGGTGATGTGCCCAGTGAAGCACGTATGTTCTATCAAGCATTCTGCAGCCAAAATATAAGGAATCCATTTTGTTTTAAAAATAAATAATAAAAATTATATGGAGAACTTCTTGCAAGACCAAGGATTTGAGGCATTTGTCCCTGAACCTCTTTAACCCTCTTTCAATGTAGTGCTACACTCAAATTGCTGCACTTGATACAAGTGTTAAGTTGAATCCAAAAAACAAAATAGACAAACAAACAGAAAACCCAACCCCATATATGTAGGTAAAAGTCCAGGCCAAGAAGTCTGAGGTATAAAAGTAATCACCCCTGTCCCAAAGATGATCGGCATTGCTAACCTGTTAAACCTCTGCCACAGTGGATGGTGCAGAATGGTTAGGGCAAACTTAAGGCTCCTGGAAAAACCAATGTGCCTCAAGAAGCTCTGTGTGCCAAGACTGGCATACAGTTAGTGCCCTATAGGTGTGTCGGAAAACAGAGTGGCAATTATTTATTAGTGAATAAAACTTTCTCCTATTCCCAGAGTGCACTCTTAACAACAAGGCTGCGGGTTGGACTCCCGCATGGGCTGGTGGCTACACCCACCCACAACTAATTGAACGCAGCACCTTGAGCTGAGCGGCACGACTGGACCTGGAGCTGAGCTAGCTGTGCCCTCCACAACTAAGATTGAAGGACAACACCTTGGCTAGTCCCCCTCCCCAATTCCCCAACACTGTTCCCCTCCCCCGATTTCCCAATAAAATCTTAAAAAACAAAACAAAACTTTCTCCTGTCCCTCCGCATGTAGCAGTCGATCTTGAAAATGAAAGGGCCTTGCTTTTCATATGGTGTTTTCACCACAGGGAGGGGTGTAGTGAAACCATAATGGCACCTTCATAATCTGTTGTGTCTCAATCAAAACGCAATTACTTCCATTCCTTCCACCTTCCCTAAATGGTGGCCCTATCACCTCATTCAAAGACTTACATTCTCAGGCCACCAACACAAAACACAATGTGTATATTAAAGATCCAAAACGCTTGCAGGCTGAAACAGCTGGGTTAATGACCCCACTCTATCCCCTACAATCAACGCATTCAAATTTGTCTCATTTTCAGCTGCTCCAGACTGAGGTTTATATTCATTGTAATAAAAATTCACAGGGAGTAACTTAAAAGGATGTTGTACGTCTCTTACCTTGCTGATGAAAGTTGGTTTTAACCTAGCAGTGGCATAGCAAGGATTGAAATACTTCGAAAGTGTTCTCTGGCAAAGGACAAAAGAGATAAAGTTCATTCAACTTATTGTTCAATTTTAAAACAAGCATTTTGTTATTATATGTAGGTAACAGTGACTGAGTGCTTACTACATGCCTGGTTCTATGTTAGATAAGCCCTTTATCTACACCTTCTTTTATTATCCTAAATGAGCAGTATCTACATTCTTTACAAATCATACATGGGTTACTAAAAATAAATTTTTTAAATTTCAAAATTTCTCGATTCCTGTAAAATTCCAACACAATAACTATCATAGAGTCTGCCTGTCTACATCTTTTTACAAAATAAACTCAACAAATCTCCCTTATCACTATTTTTTTTATAGACTAAAAAACAAAATGAATACTGATATTTTCACCAGATTGGGAACCAAAAAATGAGGTTATTATGCTATGCTTATGTGCTCAAACATTTGTAGAACCAATGAACAAATATACAAACAATTCATTCCATGTTCATACAATGGTGATTTTCAAAACCAGTTCTAGATAATCCACAGAATCTAAATTAGACAGCACAGGAGGTGTGGTTATGCAATGCTCTTAACAGAGCTTATTGCTGGGGATGGGGCTGGCTGATCTGGGATTTATGTGCTATCAACTGAAAAGATTTTGACTAAAAACAAAAACATGCTTTTTAAAACTGATTATTTATGTGTTAATTGAACTACCATAGCAAGATGATAATTAAAGTGTGTTTTTAAAAAGTCTTGGTAAATGGATCAAAAAATAATTGCCATATATTATTCCCACAAAGTGAAACTTAGCATACAACAGAGTGCTCCTTTTTTGCCTTAAGTCATAACTAATAGTAGAAGAATATTTTTTCGTAACAAACTCACCGGTGTTGGAAGAGTTCGATATCTGACATAAAAAACAGCAGCAATCAACATCACATCTCTTGAAATTATCAAATAAGTAAGTGGAACTGAAAATCAAATATAAAATAATTTTGATTGGGATTTTTATAATTATTACATTACACATACAATGAAGCCTCATTCAGCCTTACCATAAATTGGTGTTTCTCGTAAGTAAAAATTTTATAATAAACACCTACTGATGGTTTACAGTCCTTACAGTGAACCACTGATTTTATTTATATACATATATATATATATATATATATATACTTTTTTTTTTTTTTTTAGCTGAACCATCCTGTCACCTGTTGGCCGCTCAGCGGCAGCTCAGCTCGGGCCGGGAATCGAACCACTGTTGCTCAGAGCTCACACTCCTGAGCGAGCTCTTACCCAACTGAGCCACTCAGCCAGCCCTGATTTTTTAATATTCTTTAACCTGCCCTCAAAACAAGTGAAGGACAGACAATGGCTTTTAAAATCTATGTCTCCCTTTCAAAATATTAATCTTCTGGGCCTCTTTTTGTTGTTCTTGCACACGTTTTTAAGCTGCAGTTTACCAGTTCTACTCAGTCCCACTATCTCCTTTGTTATTTCTCAGCTTTGTGAGTTTGGAAGAAAGGTCACTATACTCACTGCAATGACATGGACTGAGATGGTAAAGAGGTTGGAAAGGATGTCCGGACTCAAACCATTATGGTGTCTCAGGACCTTTGCTTCCTTTTGCAGTCTAGACTATTTTACAAATAATAAAATTTGCTATATGTACCACTTGTGGAGAAACACAATTTTTCATTTTTGTCTGGCCAGGTCTTACTAAGGCAATTACTACTTTTTTCTCCTGCCCCATTCATTCAATGAATGACAAGACTATTCCAAAGAGAAAATGCTTATCCACTCACGGCATGGCATTTGGAACACACAGAAGACATAGCTATATAAGCCAAATAACAAAAGAAGCCAGGAACCCATGATTTTTAGAAGCATTTTTGTGCCTGTAAAACCAACTTTTCTACAGCAATTACTAGCTCGTAAAATCTAACAATCAGATTTTAAAATGCAGCAAACTCATGCAAATTACATATAGTAAATCTCCTAACCGTAACTTTAAAACACAATAAACGTCTGGTAATGTATTTCATCACCACTGGGAAAAAAAGAATATGAGTTAACCCTAAATAAGAGGTTTCTGCACAAGAGGAAATGAGACAATTCAATACACTGCAAAGACGTGGATTCTAGTTTTATTAACTACCAAAATTACCATTTACTGAGCAGCTGGCATTGCTTTAAGCATTTTCTACATAAAATGCTATTCAATCTTCGTAATATAGGGACCATCATTATCCCCATTTTACAAATATGAAAAACAAGCCTCAGGCAGATTATATAACCTGGCCATGGTCACCAACAAGTGAGTAGTACAGTCAGGTATGGAACTTAGGTCTATGGAAGTCACAGCCTATGCTCAGGACAGTACTTTAGGCTCCAATCCAGCAGTGTGACTAGCAATTAGCATCTCTGGATTCAGTTTACCACCTCTAACAGTCTGGTGGTGGAAAGGGCTGTTAAAATCAAGGGTTCCCCAGGCTAACTTCCCATCATAGAGTCACCTCCTGAGAGCTTCATAAAAGCACAGATGAAAGCTCCCTGGGGGACTGGATGCACAGCCAGGCTGGAATCCTGTGGCACCAGGCACCGGGCGATCTCTAAGGCCTCTGCAACTGACAGTCTAGATTCAGGCTCTTCCTTAGGTTCTTGGGGCAGTTCTATCGGGCGCCCTGGCTTTCGGATCTTCTAAGCGCTCCTGCTCTCTCCCCCAGCCTTCCCTCCCTTTGATTCCAGGTCTTCCAAAAGGAGCTCTCCTTTTGCCCATCAGAGTGCGACAGCATGTCAGTGTGGGCAGGAGCGTGTAAAATCTGTAAGGGATTGCTCCAGGGTTTTCCTCCCTACTGGCTAACTCCGTCTGAAATACATTAATGTCTGCAACAAGGAGGTGCATCATGGGCAAATTTTATTGGTATTAAAGGGAAATAATAAAATCAGGCCACCTTTACATATTAAAAGTGGTCATTACCAATATCATAGGCTACTGCATTGAAAATAATAAATGTAACAGATTCTAGAAAGTGATTTAAGCCAGCAATGGGAATTTGCTATATTGTAAACCAGAAAAATATGATATGAAAAGGAGTCACTACTTGATAAATGTGACAAGACAAATGCACAAAGCAAGTAGAAATTAACTTAGACTGACATCCTACACACTGTTATAAATGTAACAAATCAAAGAATTTTTCATCTTCCTCTTCCCTTCCAGAGAAAAAGAAGAAAAACAGAATTATTTATTGCCCTAGCTGACAAAGAAAGCAAATGCCTTACTCTTCAAAAAGGTGCATGAACTTTTAGAAAAAAGCAGTATAAAAATAAGAAAATACAAGGTTGTACATATGCATTCTTTCCCCCGGCCCCCAAAACTTGCCTAAAATGACAGTTTAAAGGGATGAAAGAATATAGTCACAAAGAGGAAACAAATTTCAAAGTTTTGACTAAGTTTATTAGTACTAACTACCTTAATAGAGTGACTACCTTAAAAGAGCTGAAACTTAAGTCCTTCACACAGGACTGCTCATGAGAAGCAGGCCAACTCGCACCAGAGACCCAGAAAGTCCACACGGAGAGTACTTAGGTCCCTGTCCCCAGAACCCTCCTTAATACCATTCTGGTAGGTCTCTACACCAGGGCTGTGGTCCCCTACAGCTAGGAGTGGTGTTTAGGTTGGGGGAATAATCCCCAAAGAATACTATTTCATGATACATGAAAATAATATGAAATTCAATTTCTAGCATCCATAAGCGAAGTTTTATTGGAACACTGCCACGCTCATTCATTTATTTTTTATGGCTGTTTTCACACCACAATACCAGAATTAAATAGTTGCAACAAAAAACACATGGCCCACAAAGCCTTAAATATTTACTATTTTGTTCTTTACAGAAAAAGTTTGCCAACTCTTTTTCTTCAAGTTAATCTTTGAACACAGGGCTCACTGGGATACAGTGGGACTAAGTGAAGTCAACATACTGAACTGAGACACTTCAAGCTTCCTCCCACAGTTTAGCTCCCAAAACACTGGTGGCAAAGAGAGCTCTTAGCTACAGAAGAGGCCTAGCCAGTACTGAGAATTCAAGGCCATGCCTGGTCCCTGCCTGTTCACCCTAGAGGGAAGCACACCACCCAACAAATTCCACCAATGCCCAGAGAGAGCTCAATCAATATATAATGCTTCACTAAAGCATAAGCAAGCAGCCAAAGGTCGCCAGACATTTCAAGAGATCAAAACAAGAGATCAAAACAAACAGAAAAATAATGGAATTTAAAATAAAGAGATACAATATAGAGGTAAAAAAATACCTCTTAAAAATATAAAATACATACAGTCATGCACCACTTAATGACAGGGATACCGTCTGAAAAACGTGTCATTAGGCGATAACACTGTGCAAATGTCATAGAGTACACTTACCCAAACCTAGATGGCAGAGCCTACTACACACCTAGACTATATGGTACAGCCTATTGCTCCTAGGCTATAAGTTTCTACAGTATGTTACTGTACAGAACAATAGGAGATTAAATTGAACACAAGAGAAAATGATGCCATCAAAAGACGTGGTAAATATAGGATGTATGAGGTTGCTGCCAGTGTAACACGGCATACTGTTTTCCAGCAAACTTTTCTCTTTAATAAGTAGAAAGTGTATACTCTAAAATAATAATAAAAAGTATAGAATAGTAAATACATAAATCAGTAACATAGTCATTTATTATCAAGTATTATGTACTGTACATAACTGTATGTGCTATACTTCTATATGCCTGGCAGATTTGTTTACCAGCATCACCACAAACACGAGTAATGTATTGCCCTATGACATTATGATGGCTTCGATATCACTAGGTGATAGAAATTTTTCAGCTCCATTATAATAATCTTATGGGACCACCGTTATACGTGCAGTCCAATATTGGCTGAAACATTGTTATGTGATGCATGACTGTATAAACAGAAAGGATAGATAGGTAGGTAGAAAATATCCTCAATGACAATACTCATCTATTAGATAAAAAACATGACTTTTTAGAAAAACATGGAACCAGAGCCCTTGAAAATTAAAAATGATAGCAATATAAATGTCAATAAAAGGGGTAAATGACAAAATTGAGGGAATCTCCTAGAAAGAGAACTCTCCTAAAACATTAAAAATATATAAAATAGGAGGAAAAAAGAGAATCAACCCATGTTCAATTCTGATTAAGAATTCCAGAGAGAAGAGAATCGAAAAAACAGGGTAGAAAATTATTAAAGACATAATATAATACAATTTTCAGAATTGTGGCATGAGTTTTCAGACAGAATGGACCTAGTTAGTACCCAGCACAATGAAAGACACACCAGATTCAAGTAAGATCTAGAGCATATACCACTGTATAATTTCAGAACTACAAGGATAATGAAAAGATCCTGGAGTTCATTCAGTTTCCATTAATATCTGACTAGACAATTCAGAACAATCCTCCTGCTAAGACACCTAAAGAAAAACATTTAAAAAAAAAAAAAAAGCTTGAAAGCAAAAAGCTTACAAGATGCTAAAGAAAGCTTCAGGCTAATACGTATTAAAGAGTGAGAACCAGAACAATAAGCCTAGACACTCAAAGCCATTATCCCTACACCAAGGAGGTCAGACACAAAGCTGACAGAATCTGTGGTAGTTTCAGGGGGTCTGGGAGACAGTAATCAAAGCCCAGAGCCTCCAAGGCTGGGCTCAGATAAACCACCTCCTAGCTTTGGGATGAGACCTGGAGGACTATTCCCATAAGACTGTGAGAGGAGGTGGTACTAAGTATACGAGGCCTCACAAGAATGTCTCATAATCTGGCGGTCTAAGTGGTCCCAGCCTCAGCATTCCTAAGTACCAAGAAGAACTTCTCTGGAGAAAAATATTCTCTGGATAGTGATGCCATTATTCCAGACATCAAAATATTCTTCCAAATTATTTTTCAAACA